CCCGGGGAGGACAGCCGGGGAGGAGAGCCCGGGGAGGACAGCCGGGGAGGACAGCCGGGGAGGACAGCCCGTGGAGGACAACCCAGGAGGACAGCCCAGGAGGACAGTCCGGGGAGGACAGCCCGGCGAGCGCAGCCTGGGGAGCACAGCCCGCACACAGCTCCACTCACTAAACGCAGAAGCCCTGAAGCTGTGTCGCTCTAAAATGACGTGTACAGACGTAACACATGAGGCCCTTCAAAGGAGTGACAAGGACAATGAGCATCTCCAAGGCTTTGTTCGGAATGACCAGGTGGGGGACGTGCCCGTCACATTTCAGGGGCAGGACCTTCACAGGCTATCCTGGTCGACAAGGTGGGAAGGCAGCCCTGCCAGGGCTCCCTAGAGTTGTACCACAGGGGACATCACCATGCCCACCAACGTCACTCCTGGTCACCACACGGAGGAAACCCAGGACTCAGAGGAGGAGTGCTGCACAGTCTGCCCACAACCAACGGCCTTCTCAGCCATGGCACGAGGGACGACGACAAGACCACCAGCCAACTCAACCGCCAGCCTAGGGGGTGGTTCTGACCAACAGGAGGGGAAATGCGGAAGAAAACTTCAAATCCTTCTTGGAAACCAGATTTAACGGATCCACCCTTGGATGTACTGCCTGGGAGTGACTTTCAAGCCTTGACCCAAGACTTTTTATCTTCCACTAAAGTAATCTTTAAGCGGAATGACTTAGCTTGCTTATTAAGACCTTCTGCTTGAGTGCAGGACGTGCCTTTAAATAGCCAACTGTACAAAACGCAAGGACAATGGACTTGAGTGAGCAAGGGAAGGTCAAAGGGTGGAGAGGCAGCCAGGAGGTGGACACAGGATGAAGTGGCAGACGAACACGCTGACTAGGTGTGAGGGGGAGACACATTTTCACCAAAATAAACCCCAAACACTCCAACAAGGAGTGTGTGCGTGTGTACATGGATGTGTGTGTGTGTGTACGCACTCACGCATGCCTGTCCAGGGTGAGCCAGGAGACCAAGGGTGTCAGGTGGTAGTCACTCATTCCTCCCAGGACCTGGGGTACAGCAGGGAGGGGTTTCTGGGGGAGCATCTTACCTCAGGGGTGAGGGGTGTGGGGTTGGGGTGGGATGTGTGTGTGTCTGTCTGTCTGTCTGTCTGTCTGATTCCTCCCAGGACCTGGGGTACAGCAGGAAGGGGTTTCTAGGGGAGCATCTTACCTCGGGGGTGTGGGTGTCTATGTGTTTGTCTGTCTGTCTCTCTCATTCCTCCCAGGATCTGGGGTACAGCAGGAAGGGTTGTCCAGGAGGGCCTCTTACCTCGGTGCTCCAGGGCCGGCCCACTGGAGCCCCAGCTCTGATAGAGGGTGGCGAGGTCCTTTGGAATGTAGGTCTTGAAGATGTTGAGAATGTCCAGGGGCTTCTCCTGGCCCTCGGTGGCTGGCTCGGGCTTGACCACGCAGTGCTCAGGTGGTGCTCCAGCCGCTGAGGGCTGAGCCTGGACAGCTGTGCTGCCCCTGGCCGCCACGCCGCCCGGTGTCCTGGGTTCTGGAGTGGCCTTGGAGGCGAGCTCTTGGGGAGGTAGAGGGGAGCCCCCATCAGCTTTACTGGGTGGCTGGCACGGCGGCGAGGGGCTGAACTTGGCTTTAGTGGAGTCCGGGGCACTGTGCTTGGTTGGAGGGCCTGGGCTGGGCACCGCAGGGGGCGTGCCCTGCTTCTCGGCCAGCCTGGTGGGCACCAAGGGGCCAGCCCGGGTGATAACGGAGGGCGTGGGGGTGGCACTTCTGCTGAGGCCACCACCAGCAGTGGGCTGAGGCTCGGGCTTGGGCCGAGCAGGGGGTACGCGTGGAGCACTCTGCCCAGGTGAGGGGCCAGACCAGGCCTGGTGTTGACCATCAGGACTGTGTGCCCATGGCTCACAGGGGGCCCCCGGGGTGCCCTCTTTGGCCCGGGGCATCCCTGGGGCCTTCGTAGCAATGCCCAGCAGTGGTGACGAACCACCCCTGGAGGCTGGCCCTTGCGTGCGTGCAAAGCGGGCCACGGGCAGGGGCTGGCACTCCTTGCCACCCAGCGCGGGTGGAGGCCCCGTGCGCCCATTACGTGCCAAGAAGACCAGGTGATTCTTGATGCTCCGGCAGCCGTTGGGCTGCACCCAGGGAGGTGCCACCGCACTTCCACTGACACGGTGCCAGACACGCTTATGCATCCACAGGACCTCGGGGTAGTAGGAGTGGTGACTACAGTAGGGGCAGGGGTGCACTGGCAGAGCCGCCCGCAGGGCGCAGGCCGCCTCCCTGCCACGTGTGCCCCGCGAGGACCGTGCACTCAGATCCAGTGGCCCTGGCTCAGGGCTGTGCGGTGCGCCCCCGGGGGGCTCCCTGCCCGCTGCGTCCAAGGGGGCCTTGTCCAGCCGGGGCCGCGCCAGCCTGTCTGGGGGCAGTGGTGAATCCATGCTGGCCAGACACCCCGTGGTGCTATCCAGCCCCTCGGGCTTGGAGTGCAGCGCTGGCATCTTCAAATCCAGGGAGAATCGATGTGCATCTGGTCTTCTGGAAGCTTCTCTGCCACTGCTTTCAAGGAAGCTGACCGGAGCCGGGATCCCAGACACGTGATCCCCAAAGGCATGGCTCTGGCCTGCACTGGTGAGGGCGGCAGGTGCTTCCTTGGGAGAGCCGCGGTGGCTGGACTTCGGCCCTGGAAAACGTGAAGCAAGATGGGCAGTTATCATCTCGGACGGGTACACGGCCAGGTGTAGAAACAGGGGCAGGAAAGATGACCCCGACTCATGGGGACCCCACTGCATGCCTCAGAGGAGGGATGGGTATGGGGCCCAGGCACAGAAACGGTGACGCAGGCAGAACCAAGCAGGGGCTAGAAAAATGCCCCCGACCCATGCGGACCCACGCGGACCCACGCCTCAGAGGAGGGCTGGGCTTCCTAAGTGAGCAGTGGCAGGCTCTCAGAATTTCTTCCGAAGGACGTCAGGGTGGCCTCAAACACCCAACCTCTCAGTCAGCTGCTCAGTGCACCCACCCAGCCTCTCCAAAGCCAACCACATCGAATTTGTGGACACACGTGCTTTGTCTTCAGAAATGGACAAAGTTTTTAACACACTCCACCAGGGTCAAACCGCAGTGTGGGATCAGGGCTTCTTATCTAATGAGTTAAAATAACCCCTGATTGTCCAGAACAGCTGTTGGCACCAAGGACCGTGTCCACCCTGTCGAGCAGACAGCAGAGTGACGCACGCCAGTCAGGAAAGGACGTTTACCTTCAGCACCACCGTGCCCCACACAGAGCTCTCCAGGGGCCCTGGACCGTGTAAGCTCACAGGGGAGACAAGATTCCCCAAAGAAACAGCTGGAGCTCGTGGCCAAGGACCACACAGCTGGCACCGGGCAGAGGCGGCACGGGAAGACAGCCTTCCCAGAGCACCACTGTCTGCCCCCAAAATGGCTGGCTGGAGTCTTGACCTCCCCTAACCTAGTGAGGCCCTGACCAGCCTGTCAGTGAGCTCCAGCCCCTCCTGCCCCCAGCCCGCCTCACTGGCACAGGGCGGACCACCCCTCACTGCTGCCCCTCTGCACACAGGTGTGTGAGGCAGACCGGTGGGCCTGGTGACCTGTCCCCACCTCGGGAATGCTGTCACGGAAGCTAGCATGGCCAAGCATCGGGCCTCACGTGGCTCAGCTACACAGGGAACCCTCACCCAAGTCCAGGCCCAACTCGCTGGCCTCACGGAATGCCCAGATCAGACAGACAACACAGGGGCCAGCCCCGGCCACGGGCTGCACACAGGCACTCACTCCTACCTGGAAACTAGAAAAGGAAAGGGTACAGCCTAGAGGTGGGGGCTGTTACACAAACCACAACTGAGTCCGTCTGACCCGGGTCCCAACCCAAGCTGCACGACCAGCTGACCTGTTCAGGCTCGCCAAGGTCAGCATGCCCACCTGCTCCTCTCCGACAGGGACAGCGAGTGCCTGTTCTCCCAGGAGCCTGCGACTAGGCCCTGCAGATTATAGGGTGGGGGGGTGGTTCTAGACCAGGGCTCTGGGCCTGGTCCTCTGCGCCTGGCTCAGGCCCAGGGGACTGCCCAGCACGGACACTGTGGCGGGATCCACGGGCAGGAAGCCAGGGTTTGTCAAGAGATGGACAAAGAGTATGTCCACCTGGGCAACAGAGAGTGCTGCAGCCACAGACAGAACAATGCTCTGATCCAACATTACCATGTGGACGAACCGGGAAGCTTCATGTGGAACGAGGGTCACCACACACAGGCAACTACTGTCCCCTGTGACCATGCAGACCAAGGAACAGGACAACAGCAGGGCAGAGGCTCCCAGGCCCACAGGCCACTCTCTGGACATTCTGCTTCCAAAGAAATAAGAGAAATCAAGAGCTATCAAGAACCATGAGTGTCCTGTCACCGGAGGACACAGGCCAGTGTTCCACCAATACCCCACTGCAGGGCCAGAGCAGGGGCGCAGCAGGTCCTGCTTCCAGAGTGCCCACCAGGCACTGGAAATGGGGCAACAAGGCAGAGGCCACGATGTGAGGGTCATCTCCCACTTCTACTACTACTGGTAAATGGAACTTCACTAACTGAAAGGTCAGAGGTCCAAACCCACCAGCCACGCCGCCGGCTGGACAAAGACCTGGAAGTCTGTGCGTAAAGGTGATCACCTCAGGAACCCACAGGGGCAGGTCCACCCTGTCCTACAGGTGGCTGTGAGGGATGTCCTGGGTTCCTCACGCACAGTAACTGAGGGAACAGCAACTGCTCTCACAACCCAAGCTCTGCAGGGACCCCCCACTTTCCTCAGGACTCGCTGACTCAAGACACCTTCTGAGTGTCCTCCTGGGTCGTGATATACACAGCACGAACCAAAAGAAACAATGTGCAGGAACAGGGAGGCTGAGACCTGCACACCCCCCGGCTCCAAGCCCCTTCAAGACAGAACGTGGGTTACACAGCCATGTGGCCACCAACCTCTCCCGGGGCTGAGAACTCGGATTACACACCCATGTGTACCCCCACCCTTCCTGGAACTAAGCACATCTCGACCTTACATGGTAATTAACCATCAACTATTAACATAAGTAACTTACAAGACCACAAGTTACTCATGTTAATGGAAAAATATGTAAATATCTTCACACTCTGGAAACTGTATTTTGATATCTGGGGGAAAACAGCTCCAAACTGAAGACATGATTTCTGAGTAAACATTTTTAGGTATGTGACACGGAAAATTTCCGTTTAAAGTTGGGAAAGGAGGGTTTCAAAGACTCCTTTCTCCTAGATTTAATTCAAAGAGTACAAGATCAACACTTTCAAGATTAATCCAACATGCTGGTCCCCAGCCACAGCCGTCATTTCCAGGATACCCTGTCCTAGCATAAAACCCACGCCTTCTGGAAACCAACAATTCACTGTCATTGACACGATGAGAGGACTTGTCCCTTAGGACGGCTTTTTTAAAATCAAATCCTTGCTAAAGTGAATACAGCACAAAAGACTTCTTTTCGTGACTGTTAAAAATTTGTGCACCCTAGTTCACCCCCAAATTTTAACAGCAAACTTCACTATCGACCATATGAGAGACGTGTTGAAATACTAAAGTACAAAGAAATCATATACAAGACCTCACAAACCATGAGTGGGTTACACACCAACAGCCTCTGTATGAACCCATGCTTTTTCAATTGGCTAAAAAAAATTTACATTTTAAAATATGTGGGCTGGTGGTAGTTCCTGAAAAAGAGCAAGTATGTCCTACCTGCTGGGCTTACAACTCTAAACCCAACCCTCACTCAACCCAAACTTCAACCCTGACTCTCCCTAATTCCACCTCCAACCCTTACCCCAAACCCCAATCCAAACCCCAATCCTCACTCTCAACCTTTTGATTCCTAGCTCAATGCTTATCCAGGGCCCCTAAAATGTCAGTAAGGAAGCCGACAGAAAACAAAGGGGGGGGGATGACTGTATTATACTTTCCCGCATTCTCCTACAGCTATTTTCTTAAGGACAGACGCTAGAATTTCCCATCAAATGTGACCAGGAAGCACTTGGCCGCTAAACCACGTGCAGGGTGGGTTTGGGGGTGGTTTTTCCACATGATAAACATATAAACCTGTTCATTGTCTTAAACATAATTTGATTTCTTTTTTAAGAAGGCTTTAAATCATGTGATTTAGGTTTTTCCTGCTGTAATGCTTAACTATCAATAAAAAAAAAACAAGAAACAGGAAACCCAAACCATGCATGTATTTACAAAGAAATGGTGGTGGGAGTTCTAAAAACCAGGCTCCTTTTAACATGACGACGAAGCTCTCTGTTACCAAGCTGGTTCCACTCCACAGCGACCGTGTGGAAGAGAACACACCCTGGCCCAGTCCTGTGCCATCCTCGGTGACGGTGGCATGTGGAGCCCACCACTGCAATCCAGCTCCCTGGGGTCTTCCTCTCCTTCTCTAACCCTCCAACTTAACCAAGCATAATGTGCTTTTCCCAGGACTGGTGCTTCCTGGTTACACGTCCAAAGTGGAGGAGATGAAGTCTCCCCACCTTCAGTTCCAAGGAGCATGCTAGCTGCACCTTCAAAACAGGTCGTCATGATGGTGCATCCCCCCATTCAAGCTGTATGATGAGCTCAGGTCACTGGCATCAGCACTGAACACCCCTCATTAACAACCTACGGGACAACTCTGCTCGCACACTCTCAAGTGTTTACGGATGGCATTTAAGGACTGAAACCATCAGTGTGGATGGCTGTGTGTTGTTATGTGCTGTCGAGTTGCCTGCGACTCGTAACAACCCTGTGTACAACAGTCCTAAACCCTGCTCTGTCCTGTGCCAATCTCACTTTCTCAAACATACCTACCCCATTACCCCAGTCACTAATCAATCCATCTCACTGAGGGTCTTCCTCTCTTGCACTGTCCCTCCACCCTCCCAAGCATGATGTCCCTCTCCAAGGACTGGTCCCTCCTTGCAACATGTCCAAAATAGGTCAGACAAAGCTTCAGAATCCTTACATCCAAGGAGCAGCCTGGTTTTACCCTCTCTAGGATAAGCCTATTTGTACTCCTAGCAGTCCATGGTATATTCAATACTCTTCTCCAGAATCACAGATCAAAGGCATCAATTCTCCTATCATCCACAGTCACTGTCGAGCTTTCTGATGCATAGCAAGTGACTGCAAAGACCATGGCCTGGATCAGGCGCACCTTAGTCTCCAGACTGACATCATTGCTCCTCAGCACTTTGGAGAGGTCTCTGACAGCAGACTTTCCTAATGCAATTCGTCTTTTAACTTGCTGGCTGCTGGTACCCAGAGTGCTGACTGTGGAGCCAAGCAAGCTAAAGCTGCTAACAATCTCAGTTTCTTCACTATCTATCATGATGCTGCCAATCGGCCCAGTGGTGAGAATATTTGTTTACGTGGAAAAAAATCCTCACAACTGGACCAGGAAGCACACAGTGATAAATGGATAAAAGATGAAGTTGTCGAAGATCTCATTTCACCTGCATCCTCAACCAACACCTACGGAATCAACAGTCAAGAAATCAAACGATGTATCACAATGGCCCAATCAGTGTTTCTTTACTAATGAGCAGGGATATTACTTTGAGGACTAAGGTGTGCCTAGTAAATCCTGAGTCAGGGTATTTTCAATGGGCTCAAATGTATGTGAACGCTGGACAAAGAATAAAGACGACAAAATAGGAACTGATGTCTTTTAATCATGTTGGGGAAAATACTGAATAAATGATGGACTGCCAAGAGAATGAACAAGTACAAGGTTTTCTCATACAGTCTCCAGTTTTAAACTCGGACGATGAGCAGGATAAAGGCCATTTCAGTCCACAGGCTACAGATGGTCAGCGTCCGTCCACACACAGCAGTGACTACAGGGCTTCGGGCGCTTTGCTCCACTGCGACCAGGAGGTGGCACCAGCTCACAACGCAGCACCCGCTGCTCCTTCCCCGGACGACACGTGGCCCAGGTTTTGACAATCTCAGCCCCCACTTTTCAACAGCTCACATTTATCAGCTAGACACACACACACCAAGGGCCTGGCTTAAAGCTCCGTCCATTCAAACATGCACATTCCTATTAAGAGCAGCATAATACATGACAAAGTAGTCCATGGACGGATCTTTGTGCCTTCCAACATTTCCAGGCTGAGAGTGCAGGGGGTTTAGATCAATGACCTACTTAGATTATCTAGTAGTTACATCTAAACAGTAACTCTGTGTGCATTCGTCCCTGGAGGCTACATGATCATCTTGCCAACAGGAATCATCAACTAGGACTTTGGTACAAACACTAAAAGCACAAACCCACCGCCACCAAGCTGATTCCTACTCAGGGACCCCACAGGACCCAGCAGAACTGGCCCAGAGTCTCCAAGGCTGTAAACCACGTTATATTTCATATAATCCAGATTCTCAAGTGATTGTTCTTCATTCAGACTGAACTGAGATGGAGAAGTTATTTAACCTTGATTGACACTGTTCTGATTTTAAACCAAGGAGTATACATTTGTTTTACTTGGACAGCTGCTTCTTGGTTCATGGAGAGGTTTCATAATTAGTTGTTCTAGAATTACCATTATTCTCGATGTTATCCATAATTTATCAACTACACAGCCTTTGCAAAATAAGTAAAACTCAGATTAAAAAAATGCAACTGTTTCACTGTCTCCCATGAAGCCACTCTGCATTTGAACCTTTCAGACAGAAACTGACTTCTTTAGCAGCACTGTACCCCCCTTTTCCAACAGTGACTATGGCTACCCGTCTCTTAAACTCCCAAAGAGCAAGCCAACTGCCAGCAAGTCCATCCCACCTATAGTGACCCTGTGTAGGACATAGCAGAACTGACCCATGGGGCTTCCAAGGCAGGAAGTCTTTCTCCCATGCAGCTGCTAGTGGGTCCGACCCCCTGACCTTTCCATTCGTGTCCAAGGCTTCCCATCCATCGATAAAGCTGTCATAC